GGGGGTAGCGGAGTAAGATATAAAAAAATTTACTTTGTTAGATGTGCCAGGAAATATGGAAGCCCCAGTTGGCATGATTGGCTTGAAGGTGAAGGAGGACGTATCATTGTTGTCAAATGATCTGTCTTTCCTTTGATCAGGAGCCTCCCTAAAGAATGCTGAATTCGGAATATCACCTGATGAGGGAAATGAAAATTTTCCTGTCGTCGGAGATGGTTGTACCTGCGGAAATATTGTTCACGTCTATTCATATTCCAATCTCATTTTTCAAAACCATGGAAGTACTCAAGCAAAATAAATTATTTAGGTAGTGTTTGGGAACTAGCATTTCATTTCAATTGCATTTCAATTCCAAAATTTGAATTCTTGAATTTCAAATGACAAGTGGAGACATGAATTTGCAATTGAGCTTTGTAATAAATTAGACGAATTTGCCTCAAATCCAAATCCAAATCCAAATTTTTAAGATTTCCCAAGCATGGAATTTGAGCCAAATTTGGATTTGAAATCCAAATTTCAGTTCCCAAACATGCCATTAAAGAATTTGATACATTTTTCATATACTGAGTTGGAAGCATAAAAAGGATAAGACAAATATGCTTTTTTTCCTTTTTCATACAACAGAAAGAGAAGACTTGTGCCATGAGGCAAGTTGTTTAAGAACTCTCACTTTTATTAAACTTTATATATGAGGGTAGAATCCCTTAACCGGGAAGCAAATGGAGGAAAACAGTAGACCATGCCTCTATACTTTTGATGTCCATTACGTGTAAGGAGCTACGCAACATATACATTACAATAACTTACCAGTGAATTTGAGACAAAAACAGGAGAATCTAGCAGGGTAGTTGGACTGAGACCAGAAGGAATTGTCAAGTAAGGAGACCGAACTGCTTGGGTCTGTGAATGATCAGCAGGACGAATACTTTCCGTGTTTAGCCTTGGGGCATTGAATCCAGCCCTAGCTGCGATTCTTTCCAATAGACCTCCACGGCAACTCACTTTCTGCTCAGAGAATGAACTCAACATAACTCCTTGCTCACCAGCTTGGGTGGTGCTCTTCAAATCACTATAACTAGACGATGCATGCCCTTCGGGGTCTGAAATAGGAGCTCCAGGTTTATTTTCATCCTTCAGGTCAGTAGTTGACCTTGACCCATGATCAACACCTAGGATTGAAGAGAAAAATGCCCTGGGACTTGGACTAGCAGGCATCCAATCTCCCATCATGCGAGCATGATCATCAAATCCACCCATGTATTCCGTCGTGGCACTGGATATTACAAATTCAAGTACAAAGGCAGAGCGATAAAAAACATCTGCATCAAATCAATAAAAACGTAAAAGAGTTAACTGATGAGACACTGATAAACTTCAATCAAACTGATAATGTCGAGTCACTCTTAAAGTACAGTTCTTTTCACTGATGTACTCATTCCATCTCTCTCTTTTTCAATTCCCTCTTGAATTCATGAAAAAGGTTGAACCCCAATTCCCAGGTCCCCCAATACTGGCCCAGACAGTAGACTAGGACTCCAATCAGTATAGTTGATAGGACATGGGGCGTGTCCCTCTTACGTGCGAACCCCATCCAATTAGCTCTTGAATTCAAGGAATGTATTTGTTCCAAATAATGAAATATATCCACAATCCGTGTGATTTCCAAACTCCTAGATTTTTAACTTTTAATTTCCAAATATGTCATGTACATAGTAATAATTACGAAGCAACTCCAGAAAAGGAAGATAATTTTTATACAAAAAAATCCAGTTTCAGGAATATAAAGTGGGGCAATCAAAGTTTGGATTTTTACAAGGAATTCACAACCACTGCTTATATATCCAGGGAAGAACATGAAGATCTGAGAAAACTGGAAAAAAATCGAGCAGAATTTCGAAAACCCAAATCTTCCAATTGTAATCCAACGCAACTGAATCTATTTTGGATTAATATTCACAAGCAAGATAACAACTCTGTCCCAGAAATGGAAAATAGCAAAACACTTGTACAAAAAATAAACACTCAATCATCATTCAAGAACGATTATCCACAGAAATACCTGAAAATGAAAAAACAACAGAGAGAGACAGAGATGAAATGCCGAAAATACCCTCCTTCTGCCCCAGATTAGTCTCCCCGCAATTGATTATTTGATTCCGCCATCCAAGAATCAATAAAACTGTAACATTGAGAAATCCGAAGCAGGAAAGAAAGAGAGAATATCTGCTTCACTCTACGCGTCCAAACTCGTTCTCTCATGAAATTGTAGCTTGAGCACAGAAAATGATTGATTTTGGATTTATGGAAAAATGACGGACTAATACAGTAAATAAATGAAGTATTACGGAGTACTCTCCTTCCATCAAAATTTCTAACTATATTCGCGACAAAAAAAAGTTTTTTTTAACAAAAATAAAAAGTCTCCATTTCAAAAAAGTTTTGTTTGATTTCGCAAAAAATTGAAAAGTGAACATTTTTTGTCACGTAGATTCCCCTGCAACCATACCACTCTTCGCTATCCAAAATAAAAATCACAGAAATTATTATTATTTTTTGTATGTATTGATTATTTGATAAAATAAAATACTACCTCCGTCCCACTCTCTTTGTCCATTTTTGACTTTTAAAACTGTTCATCTACGCAATTTGACTCATCAAATTCTCTCAATGTGTAAGTCTAAATATAGTCATGTGTGATCTTGTTTGATTTATCTTAACTTATAGACTATTAATATATAATTTTTATAATTTTTTAATATACAAATTACAAGATAAAATGGATTAAAGAAGTACATTGGATGATGTACCAAAAGGTGAGTGGACAAAGAGAGTGGGACGGAGGGAGTATTTTTTATACAAAAAAAATTAAACAAAGTTGTTAAAAAGTATACCTTGTATTGGTGTATATTCCCCTAAAAAATAAAACATATTGTAAAATTTATTAATTTGGAAATTGTTGTAACAAATCCTGTAATTCGAATAGTCAGGAACACCATTAGTCGACGCGTCCCCAAATTTTTTTACTAGATAATATTAAATGGAAAAAACGAATTGAAATTTATTTTAACTATTTTATTATATGTGAATTTTTAAAAGGCACTGCGAAATTTTATTTTATAAACAATTAATTCTATGCAATGAAACAAATTTTAGTTGGTGTCTCTTAAGTTTTAATTGGAGCAAATGTACATGAAAATTAATTTTTTTACCCTAGATGCAAAAATTAGTTGGAGGCCATGACACCTTACTACTAGTACTCTGATTTATTTGATACCGAGTATTTATTACTAATGTGACATTTTTTTAGTCATAAATTATACGGAGTATATGATTTTAAATAAATACTTTTTATGTCCGAGCATACTCATTCGAACTCATTCTGTTTGATTTTTTTACGTCAAACTTCACAAATTTTGGTGAGGAAATGAGAGAAAACTATTTTCTTTTCTTTTAATTTCCTGCCAAATTCTGTGAACCAAATATAGTGTAAATATGTGTTGAATATTAGTGTAATAAAATCATCTTTTAAAAGAAGAAATCTCCTTAGATATGAGTAAAAACTCTAAAAAATATGAAAATACCAAAATAATAATGATAAGTCTTTTGACATTAAAATAAGAATATAATGACACTATGGTGTAAGAGTACACATTACTAAGATATTTATATATAACAAAACACAATAAAAGTATATATATCTAAATTTATAATATATCTTCACAAATAGATTTGAATGAATTCTTTTTTTATATAAAATTAAAATTTTTCTTACATATTTATTTAGGTGATCGTTTAACTGAATGACTTTTTAGCATTTTAATTTTTTCAATATTTTCCAACTATGAAATTCCAATCTGTCTAAAAATTTATCCATACTTTTTTAGTGGATCAAGATTAAAAATACAATACTTGCTTTTCGAAGAAAAAAAGTCACGAATGTCCTTACGTAATCGACATGATATACTTTTTTCATAGTATGATATACTTTTGTCTTTATTTCCCCTATTTGTTTAAAAAAGTTAATCTTTTCACATATTGATTAAAACAATAAACTTAACTTTTATTTATTACTTCGAAATGTCCTCGACATTCTTTTATTGGCTCATAGTTCATAATATTTCTTTGAAAGAAAAAGAAGTGAGTTCACATTTGTACTTCCAAACAAAATTCACATTTCTTATTTCATTCATTTTCATCGATCGATAGAGTTTTCAAATTAGAAAACAAAAAAATACTACTAGCATATATAAAAAGATGAAGTTCAATTTATCAGTTTAAACTTTTATGTTAGATAGTGTATACTAAGTTTGTATGCAAGTAATTAATTTTATTCAACACTATTTCCATTGTTCTCGATTCCTGGAATTTTATCATGATATATGAGTAGGTGTCATCCAGGTTCAATTCTTCCTAGTTGTACATTTAGATAGGGATGACAACGTTCCGAATTCGGTCGGGTTTGAAAATTTTGAAACCCGACCTGATTTAGGCCGGATTCAGGTTTGATTTTGACAGTTGGTTTTAGATATGTAATTTTTGGGTTTAAAACTCGATCGGGTCGGATACGGTCATATTGGGGTTTAGATACTAATAAAAGTATTCACGAAAAATTTTAGATTGGAATATATTAAAAATTTAAAATTTTAAAGGCGACATGAAATTTAAAATATTAAAAAAATAATTATGACCGAATGACCTTCAACAAAATTAAATAGTAAATTTTAACTAATAATATCCAGAGTACAAAAAAATAGCATATGAATGACACACAAGATTTATCCCCAATTAGAAATAAAACACAAAGAAACACAATTAGTTTTAAAACATTCAAAGCATGTGTACCAAAAATACATGGAATATAGAAATTTAGTATTTTTAAAAACTTATTGAAAGTCTGTTACAAGTCTGATCGTGTACGGTTTGGTTAAATATACAGACTCAAACCCGACCCGATATTCCGATAAGAGTCGGATTTGGTTTAATTTTTATCGGGTCGGTTTGAGATATTTATGTTTTCAATTCAGATTCAGATATTATAAGCTCCGGTTAGATCAATAAAGGTCAAATTCGGGTAGAACTACCGTCTCTACGTTGGGACGTGGGTTTAGCGATATGAGCTACTCATTTGTGGTTTGGGTTGAGTTGGTCAAAAGATATTGATATGCCGCTGTAAGTTGTATGAAATATCTATAAGAGATTGAGATGTTAGACCTGTTTGTTCAAAAGCGGATTATGATAGCCTAGTTATCACTTGAAGGCGAGTGTTAGAGTTTCCACATTGAGAAACAAAGAGAAATACCACGATTACCACCTACATATATAAAAGGGAGACGTGTATCCCAACTTTATAAACAAGTAGTTACTTTTATTCGACACTCTGCTCGTTGTTTTTAGGCTACTGGAAATTTATCATCAATGTTAATGCTAACTAAATTACTTATAGAAAGTGGATACCGATTTTATATGCAAGTGGTTATTATTATTATTAAATAACAACAACAACAATAATAATTTGAAATTGAATTTGAATCACATCCATTCAGATCATATCATTTTTAAAAAAAATCAGTTTCATATCAGCCCAAGAGAATGCATCCTAAAAGCGTGTTCTCTTAAACATATTCTTATTATTTATTACTTATTTTTATTAAAATCAGTTCAATTTAACAAAAAACACGCTTTCTACAGTGCAATATATTAGTATGTTATTATTCAGAAAAATTATATAACTTTATTATGTTAAAAAATTATAAAAAAACATTATAAATAAATGTTTAAAATGATTCATCATTTATCTCATTTTATTAATTTTCAAATAAAATATATAAATTTTAGTTTTAATTTTAATTATAAAACTTTGGCGCCTCTTTTTTTAAAATTTTTTTAATTGAATTTTTTTTATTGTTTATACATTGAATTGCCATTGATTTTGTATACAATCTTCTATTTTCTAATTATTATACCAATATGAATTTCAACCTTTTTAAAAAGATTGTTATAAATAATTTCACTTAAATGTTTTTTACGGAGTATAATCTTAAAATTATTCACTATTATTCTCTTTTATTTATTTTCAAGAACAAAAATCTATATAAATGTTAATAAATGTCAATTTTTGTATTTAGTAGAATAAAAAATTATTATATTAAACTATTATATTATGATTCAAACTAGAATTTTTATCTAAATCTTAAAATTATAAATGTTCATGGATTAAAAATAATTTTTTTGAATAAGTAGTAAAAATAATTTTGGAATTAATAATGGAGTGAATTTAGTATGTGGAGTGAAGTTAGTGTTTAGATAGAGTGTGACTATCACTACCTTTTTCAATACTCCTTTGGTTCAAAAATAAAGTTTAAAGTCAAACTTTATTCAATTTTTTACCTTTCCTATTTGTTTTACAAGGGTAGTTTGGGTAACGGCCTTTATTCCCCCGAAATCTCTCCTCTGGTCTTCAGTGTTTCAGAGTACTTCTCCATTCCCTCGCCCTCGACATCTCCAGACGTTTAACCCTTAACCCTAGCTTTCTCTCGTCAACAGTAAGCCTTTTCTATTGTTCCCGGTTTTCTCTCCATTTCTCGTAGTTTCCTTTCAAAATCTGTAAATTTTCAAATTTTATGTTCAGTTCAGCTTCAGATTTCTGATTTTGTGGTTTATTTTTCAGATTCCACATGAAAGGAGGAAAAGCAAAGGCCAGCTCAAGAAATGCTGACAGAATGTAAGGGATTCTCTCATGCGATTAACATTTCATGATGTTTCGCTTTCACAATTGTGTTAGCTAATTTTTACTGAGTCTTTTTTTCTTTGTTTTGAAATAGGTTTTCTGTTAAGAATCCCAAAGGAAAGAATGGAAAGGATTCCAATAAACCCAAAAGACCCCCCAGTGCTTTCTTCGTTTTCATGTACGAGTTGTAATTGTTTTTTGGGCTCCATTTTTGCCTAAGAAATCTGTCAATTGATGGACATTTATTACCCTGGTTGATTTACAGGGAGCAATTCAGAACTGATTTCAAACGTAAGCATCCCAATAACAAGTTAGTTGCAGTTGTAAGTGATTTTATGCCCTTTTTTGTCTTGTTTTTTTTCCTGCCATACACACGAGACATTACCGTAATTTATTTCAATTGTGATGTATCATGTCTGTGTTTTTGTTGTAATGTTTTTTAACGGACTTGATAGGTCGGGAAAGCTGGCGGCATGAAGTGGAATTCTATGTCTGAAGAGGTACACAGTACGCCATTCAAATTTTATTTGATCTTATTGTGGCGGC